TTCAAAATATTCACGCGCAATAGTACCCATTTGCCCCTAAAGCAGGTATGTCGCAATATTTCTAGTGAGATTGCGCCGTCAACTTTGCGCTGATTTATGAAATCGCATGATTATTTCACGGGCACTAATGTGTTTAAGTTATCTATCGCATATTTAATAAAACATAATTATTGTAACCTCTTGCACTATATTGAAAATAATATGATATTGAAAGCCTTTAAACGTCTTGCAAGATTTTGAATTATTGTATGTATTTATTATAGTGATAAAGCAAATATGACGCCTGCATAAAACAAAACAGTGCCTGCTTGAAGCGCTAATTCATTAATGAGCATGCTATTTTATTTGAGTAACAGTATATCAGTACAGTACATTTTTTATTTTGAATTAATGATTTTATCGAAGGCTGTAAATTGCATCGGTATCAGTATCGATATTCAAATCTTGATTATACCGATATTCCGATATATTTACAACAACCCTATTGGCAGATTGGCAGTTCTGTTCACAGTGCTTCCATTGCTAAGGCGATTGCTGTATTTTATGGTATTTCGGTATATTTTGTATGATATCGGTTTTATATATTTTACAATAAGTATTATGTATTAATCAATATTGAATAAAAATCATTCTATTCTATTCTATCCTATATTTTTGCTTTGTACACAAAGTTATTGTAAATATTAGTTTTTTTGTTATCAATGCAGTAGTTAATTTTTTACAGCTTTGCAGACTTTTATTAATGAATTTGACAGTCTGTGGTGCAGTGGCTTAGCAATGAGTTGGTGTGCTGGGGGCCGCGGGTTCGATTCCTGCACGGAACAAGTATTTGTATGGCCTACAAATAATCGTTCCGGGTCTGGATGTCCATCCTCGAGCAATCTATGTTTGTAAACTACCTCCATGATACAGGAGAAAATCCTATTGTGGAGCTAACGTTTTTCTTTAAGAAAAAAAAAATACAAAACCGAGACTTTGACTATGACTTAACTTAACTAGAAAAAAGACAATATGTTTGTGAAGGCAACGTGAAATTGATATCAAATCGCTCAATGTTAAAATGTTTTACGTGGTAGAGCCACGCTGCAGCTATATTATGGATGTAGTACGAATGAATCGGTCCGACCGTGAAATATCAGCTTAATGCTACTGTGTTTTGTATGGTGAGTGTAGAAAACTGGAGACCCTATTTACTGAAACCGAGGTATTCATCTCAGCACTTAGGGGTGACAAACCATCTGCATTTTGATTTTAAACGAAGATAAATGTAGTTGTCCTGTGGGCCACAGCATTCACTTACTATGTTGACTGTTAATGTGGTGCGTTTGTCACTATTATTCTAGAAAAAAATATATTTCATGCATTTTTCATAAAATCAATGCAATTTCTAATTTTTAAGACTTAAATAGCAAAATGGAGTTTATAAATAAACAATCTCGTATATTGTGAATAAAAAAGTATATAAAAGTATGCAATGAGTACATCCACAACTTTTCTGCCACCAGGGTGGCGCCACTTAGGAATACGGTGAAATATTTAGCTGATAATACGGCGGGGAAAGATAATTTGTTAGAAAAATTTAGGATTAATGTTTCTTTTAGTAATATTAGTAATATTTTATATTAATTGCATGGATAATGAATAAATCTAACCACGAATATTCTTAAAATAAGAAAGATTAAAAAGAGAATTAAAATTATAAAAAAAAATTAAAGAGCAAACCATTGAAGCATTATGTTGTATTATATAACATAATACTCTAGAAACCGATAAAGTTTTACTTAAAATGCAACTTCTCAATTAAATGACATTCATCATTACAGCCTTTCATAAGTCCACTGCTGAACATAGGCCTCCCCCAAGGAATGCCACAAAGCACGGTCCTGAGCCACCTGCATCCATCGACTTCCTGCATGTCTTACCAGGTCGTCACTCCATCTCGTGGGGGGTCACCCTACACTTTACCTACCGGTACGAGGCTGCCACTCAAGAACCTTTCCCCATCGGTGTTCGGTTCTTCGAGCTATATGGCCGGCCCACTGCCACTTCAGCTTACTAATCCGTTGGACTATGTCGGTTACTCTAGTTCTACTGCGGATATCCTCACAGCTAAGTTTATCACGCAGAGAAACCCCGAGCATAGCCCTCTCCATAGCTCGCTGAGCGACCTTGAGCTTCCTCATACGGCCAGCAGTGAAGGACCACGTCTCAGATCCGTAAGTCATCACTGGCAACACGCACTGGTTGTACAATTTCGTTTTAAGGTTTTGAGGTATGTCTGACGAGAAGATGTGTCGTAGTTTCCCGAACGTTGCCCAGCCGAGTTGAATCCGTCGATTGACCTCTCGGTCGAAGTTGGACTTACCTAGTCGGACTAATTGTCCCTGGCAAACATACTCGTCGACAACTTCGAGCTTAGTGCCGGCATAGGTGTGACATGGACATTAAACATGATCTTTGTTTTGTCCATGTTCATCTTAAGACCTATCCGTTGGGAGACACTATTGAGATCATTGATCATGGTGCCTAGATCCTCCAGCGATTCTGCCATAAGGACTATATCGTCGGCAAATCGAAGGTGAGTGATGTACTCGCCATTGATGTTAATACCGTATCCTTTCCAGTCCAGAAGCTTGAAAACGTTTTCCAATGCAGCGGTGAAGAGTTTCGGGGATATAACGTCACCCTATCGTACACCTCTCTGCAATTGGATAGGTTTCGTACTCTGGTTCTGTACTCGGATAGCCTTCGTAGCCCTATTGTACAAGCACTTCAGCACTTCGATCTACCGACAGTCAACTTGGCACCGCTGAAGGGACTGCAGCATCGCCCAATTTCGACGAAATCAAAGGCTTTCTCATAGCCCACATACGCCTGGCATAGTGGCAAATTGTACTCCTCAGACCTCTGTACAACTTGCCGAAGGGTATGTATGTGATCTATGGTGCTAAAGCCCTTTCGGAAACCGGCTTGTTCGGGAGGCTGGAAGTCGTCAAGTCTGCGCGCGAGACAATTCGTAATGACTCTCGAAAACAGCACGTAGACGAGGCTCAGAAAGGAAATCGGTCTGTATTTCTTCAAGAGAGCGTTGTCACCTTTCTTGAAGAATAAGACCACCGCACTTCCGCTCCACGCCTCCGGTGTAATGCCAACATGGAGGACAGAATTAAAGTGCTTTTGAAGGACTTCAAGTACCGGTTTTCCACCCGCTTTCAGAAGCTCCGCTGTAATTCCATCCTCGCCTGTGGCCTTGCCGTTTTTAAGATGCTGGAGAGCCATTCTAATCTCGCTCAGACTGACGTCCGGGATATCTTCGGAATAGTGTCGGATAAGACTCGCTCTTGGATCGTTACTCATACTTGCGTGTGGCTCCAACGATGACGTGTACAGCTGCCCATAGAACCTCTCAATCTCACTCAAAATCTCAGGTGCCCCGGAAACGATGCTGCCACACTCAGTCCTCAGCTTTGATAGTTGGCTATCTTTGGCAAAGACTTTGGAGCCTTGGTTCTGCTCGATCGTTTCTTCAATACAAGCTGTTTTGAAGTTTCGTAAGTCCCGCCGCATGCATTTAGAGATATGTCTGTTCAGTTGCCTGTATGCTGTCAAATCTGTTGAAGAATGTAGCTTCATCTCCCGTCTAACAGCCATGAGATTAAGAGTGTGATCGGAGAGTTTTTGTGTTTTTCTGCGGCGGGTCTTGCAGAACTTAGCTCCGACCGCATGGACAGTTTCCACGAGCTTGTCATTCATATCGTCCACTTCATTGCAGTTTTCTAGGCACTGAAAACGGTTTTGTAACTCGAGATGAAAGGTTTCAGGACTTTGGAACAGAGCACGAGAGGGACGGAGCGTTGACTTCATTAGACGAGACCTCTCCAACTTAACGTTTAGGTTCAGTGTGCCCCTAACCATTCGGTGATCGCTACTAGTTTTCACCCTAGCGATCACGTAGACATCACTGAAAAGTTGTCGTCTGGTGGTCATAATAAAGTCAATCTCATTTTTTGTCGAACCGTCGGGGCTCGACCAGGTCCACTTCCTGTGAGGCCGCTTCTGGAAGAAAGAGTTCATCATAAAGAGTCCCTCTTTCTCCATGAAGTCGGCCAGCTGCTGGCCCCTTGGGTTCCATTGCCCTATTCCAAATTTCCCCACTTTCAACTCACCATTCTCTCTTGTGCCTAGTTTTTCATTGAAGTCTCCCATTAACACCGTATATTGGGTATTGGAGGAATGTATGACTCTAGAGATATCCTCATACATTTCCTCCACCTCCTCATCGGGGTGTACTGAGGTTGGTGCGTAAGCCTGTATGACCTTCAGCGAATACCGTTTGGTGATTCTGAGTATAAGGTACGCAACCCTCGTCGACACACTCCCAATCTTTACAACGTTGTTAACGAGAGACTTGTGGACGATAAATCTGACACATCCTTGGGGCAGATGGTCGCCCTCCCGGTGATAGAACAAGTTGCCGGATTCGAGGATTACCGTGTCCCCCCCCCTCTCGTCGGACTTCGGATAATCCTATAATATGCCAGCGTAACTTGTCTATCTCTTCTTCCAGCTCCACGATCTTCTCGTCAGTCCTCAGGGTGCGTGCGTTGTACGTTGCCAGGTCGAGTCGTCTAAGGTGGCAACCGAACCTCCACCGGAGATGCTTAGCACCCCCTGCCCCGCCATTACCATGGTCGCCACCGTAACCAGGAATAGCGGGGCTGCCGGGGACTGGGGACCGTCTCTTCGTTACTTTCGTGGGGGGTATATCGCCATAGTTGCCACGCTTGGCGAGCGGGTTGGCAACCGCAGTTTTTTTTTGTGTAATGACATTGTGTAACAAAAATTTCACCTCAGTCCCAACTAGCGACATCAGATGAGCGGAAGATTATTAGATTTATTAGCCTTCATTGAAAGGCTTATTGTGTAATGAAAAGCAATTTTGCTTACCTCACATGGTAATTGAAAATTTGGCTCAGGCAACACTTATGGTTTAGTGTAATAGTTTTCTGTCGACTCGTGTCATGATAGATCGTGTTATTGTAATCGCTCCTTTTGGGAGCTGAATCAGTAAAATTGCTGTGTTGGTAATGTTTATGTTTAAATCTTGAAAATAATAAAATAGTCAGTATTCAATTTTATCTTGAAATTTGTGTTAACGTATCCTAGAGAATTTTGTTATTTGACATGAATTGACAACTTATCGTTTCGCAAGTAGTTACCACGGGAGGTGTTTTATTTGTGTACGTTTACTTTAGTGGAAAACATAAGTTAATTAGTTATATATATTTCACATTCTGCTTGTGTGGTGTACGTTTGTTCATTCAAAATTACCAATTTATAAGCAGTGTAATGAATGATAGGTGTGTGATGTGAACGTGGTGATCGGTATTGACTTAGTCGTAAATGTGAATGTAATTGTGATATCGCTCGCGTTTTGTGTTTCGAGGGATGATGTTTCACCTGAATTTCTCCGGGACTGACTATCAGCTGGTGAGTACCGATATGTTCTGTACATGTTAAGTTTATTATTTTCGTATATTCTCGGTATTTGGTACCTACACTTCATAAAATTTCGTATTTGGGTGATTTATTTGTTTTTTGTATTTGAGCTTACAAAAGGTGTTACGATGATATTTTTAAAATAATATTAAAAACGTATTATGTTGAAAATGTATCATGTATCAGCATTTTTTGATTACTTGGCAATATTCCGATAAAAATGAAACTATCATATTAAGCATGTCTCAGCTACTATGCAGTATTTTAACATCACTTTTATATTTTACTGAAATATATTTTCTTGACATGATTTTTTTTGTTTTATATATAAATTGGCATGGTTATATTTTTAATACACATTATTTTGACAAAATTCAATTGTCTTACTTGAACAAAATCAGATAAAACAAGCACAATTACATTAGATTTCATTAATAACAACTCCGGTTTTAACAACTTTTCAGTTATAGCAATGTTACTTTGAAGTCCCTTGAATATTTAATATATATTTTTGATAGAGAATGGTTCGGTTGTAGCAACTTTGGATATTACAACAATTTCGGGTATAGCAACCATTCATCAAGCTTTCTTAACTTTTGTTTGTAATACCAGATGGTTGGCAGCTGTGATAGTACGCTTAAAATTAGTTACTCAGTAATTTTTGCGATGTTAGATTGTTTGTCCATCATGCTACCCATTAGAAGAATGTTTATGGTTAAAGAAAAAGTAGATATTATTTCGAGGCTTGAGAATGGTGGAAGCAATATTAACTTAAGCAAAGAATTAAATATTTCGCATTCTACAGTGTCAACGATGTAGAAAAACTGCTCTGAAATTATGCAATGCTTTAAAAAAAATCTTTGACTGGAAAATTGTACATTAGCACGAGAATCAAATCTGAAACAAAGCAATACTACTGCTTATTTTAAACAGTATTATTTAGTAGACATTAATTGATTAGGCATATTGTATGACTGTTAAAAGTATTATTTGACAATAAATATTATTTTCATGCTTTCTTAATGTCAAGTTTTCTGTCCTTCGCACTCCTACCTGTGTATATAGTGACTTCCAGATATAGTGACAAAATTACACTGGTCCCTTCATCATCATCATAAGTGAAATCTACTGTGGTTACAGTTTTATAATTTGGGTAATGTACTTGTAATCTAACAATATTTTTACTAGTTGAAAAATTAGTGTTATATAATAATAATAATAATTTATTTGATACAGGCAACACTGATCCATTACAAAATTATTTTTTTTTACATTATACCGTAAATTTTAATTCTTGTTATTGGTTAATTAATCAAGTTATTAAATTAATATTATTATATAATAAATTTGACCACCTACTAAAACTTTCACTAAATGCACAAATATTACAAATAATTTTGATGTGATTATTCTGTATAAGTATATGGTACCTATATATAAAACTTTTCCTGTAATCCAATTACATTTAATTAATAAATAATTGAATTAGTCAAATACTTTAATCAATATTTATTTGATACATTAGTAGTTGGTGTTAGGTAATATAGTGAATATTTTTTTCATAATGTTGTCTTTACATCTCCGATCTACATAGTAGGCATATAAGTAGATATGCCTTATTTTTATTTCCAAAAACTGTTTTATCAACTAAAGATATTGATAATTTTTAAGTAATATCTATCTATTGTATAGTTTTATGTGTGGTGGTAATATAAGAAGATTCATCACTTTGTCATTTTTTAAGTTTTATACAATTCTAATTATCTTACTATATAGTATAATTACTAGAGATGGGACCGGTACTCGCTGTGGATTCGGTACCCGGCGGATCAGGCACTTTTTCAGGATTGGGCCGGGTATCGGGTAATGACGCCGGATACCCGGCACTGCCGGGTAATTAGGTCTAAGATAAAATTTAAAAAAGTTATTTCAAAAACGGACATTTAGTTCAATTATACATGTATCAGTAGAAGAATTAATATTCATAATTCAAAAGTATATAACATCCAATACAAGCTGTTCAGCACGATCCAATAAGATAATGGTAACGTTTTGCTCGGGAATCATTTATGCCCCAAAGCTTTTTATTGTCTAGGACTTCTTCCAAAGATGGTTGTTTTGTATCATGGTGTATTTGTGAATTTTGTAATACGTTTAAGTCAGAGCCCGATTCACATTGAGAAGGAGAGTTATTTATCGAACCATGAAGTTGTTCATAGTCCCCCTTATGCTTGAATTGCAAATGCTTTTTAAGGGAAGAGGTTCCAGCCTTTCTTCCTAGTCTTCCACGAGACACATTTACTTGACTCAAATTGTACTTAGCACTTTTTTATCTTGGGTCAAATAGGTCCAAACTGGTGACTTTTTCGAAGAATTGCAACTTCTTCGAAAAAGTCACCAGTTTGGATTGGTTTTCACTCAAGTAAATAAAAAAATAACTGTTTATTTACGTTTTTTTAAATAGTTAATTCAAAAACACTTCGAGGTTATATTGCACAAAGTCAAAGTTATCATTCCAAGCCCGTAAACAACAAATAATGGCAAAATGGCAGCCTGTGGGTAGGTACATCCCCTCTCCTTACTAACTACCGAACGTCCGCCGGCCGGCACAAACTCGCGAGCCGGGAACCGCTTGACTTGACCGTCAGTCGTGCCTAAACATTATCTATGGCCCAAACAGGGAAGTGGAATGTATACGTCTTTTCATGCCGGGTACCCGGCTACCCGGCATAATTTTGCACCGGGTACTCGGTTGCCGGGTACCCGGCAAAAGTAGCATCCGGTGCATCTCTAATAATTACCCTTTTCTTATATATACTAGATGTTAAGTGTACAGAATGGTTAGTGCCTGATTTAGATTTCCGACAGCCAAGGCTAACTTTGGATATCCCCCCCCCCAACAGGTTGAAGGGGGCAGCCCATCAACCTGTTCTGTCTGTGCCTGCCCAGCTCACAAATATATTTACTAGATTTTTATATTTTATTAGCTGTCTACTCTGCGATTTCACCCACATTAAATGAAATTTTCTTGATAGTAAGGTATTGAATATCGCCCATGAATAACAGCAACACCAAGGAAATTGCAGGTGCAGTGACAGCCTTTTTAAAGGGAGTAAGCTTGTGTCTTGAAGGTCTTTCTCATATCTTTCCGGAAAAATCGCCGATGGTAGATGATTCCACAAAGAAATCTTGCGAGGAAGAAAACTCCTAGTAAGTTGTGGACACACTCATGTTGAAGCGCCAAGCATCCAGTTGGTGTGGATGATACCGTGAGTTTTGTCTCGATGTGCGTTAGTGGAATTTGGCAGCTGAAATTAATCCAAACAATTTGTCTAAGTACTCCTCATGGATAATGCAATGGGATACAACCTGTGCCTTCTGAAGTTTAAACTGGACTAGAGTCGCCCCCAATCCGATATTTCGTTTATTTAAGGCTCGACTTCAGACAAGTTTGTTAGGATGGGTACTTGATGACATGTTCCCTAGAAATGTTAGCACTATTGGTGTAAATAGTATCACCAGTGGTTAAACCAGTAACAGCACGCAGCCTTGTGGATTAATAGGCCTGTAAGCAGAATATGCACCGTCTACTACGATCTTGATGCTCCAATCTGCAAGATAACTGATGATCTAATTGCACAATTTTTCGTGAAGTCCATAGGAAGGAATCATCTAAATAAGCGGGTTGTGCCAAAGCCCATCGAAGGCCTGCGCTTTGTCCAGAGTCTCCTTTTGGACTCTACTGCTACCGCTCATCTATGAGTCAGGTAAATATAAAATTTAGAACTAGAACTAGCTAATCAGCTACTGGTATTCAAGGTACCTTATGAGCTGGCAGTTTTTAATGGATTCCATTATTTTGGACAATAAGGAGGCGATGGTGATAAGGTAGTTGGACGGATTTGAGCGGTCACCGATTTAGGGATCGGCTGTACTAAAGCTGTCTTAAGTTCAGAATTAAGCCACGTAGACAGTAGGAGTACAGGAAAAGTAGCGTTAAAACCGGTGCTAACTCCGGAGCACTCCTCTTCAGCACAATAGGAAGGACTCCATCAGGCCCACTCGACTTGTTAATGTCCAGGAAGAGGAGTGCTATACACACTGAGTGTTATGTGAATCGCACATCCAGTATGGAGCAATCAACACTGCAAGATGGTCAGCAGTGTGTACCCCCCATCATAGAGTCGAGTTGGATGCAGAAAGAGAACCTTAATGTTCGACTTTCTCCTTTGCGGCATGGGCTAGTGAGTCATACTCCCTGTGCAGAAATGAAACAGATAGCTGACAGAAGTTCCCTTGGACAGCGTTAGCAAAACACATTAATAAAATTAGAGGTAGAGAAGAGAGCTTGAGCAGTTAAAAATGTTTGAATCGCGTCCAGTCAGTCAACGAAAGATGAAAGGTACCAAGTAATTCATAGTCTCAATCTATTTATTTGTTTTGTACTAATAATAAAGAAAGAGCAACAAGTAAAGTACTTGCCACACTTACTCTATTATGTATTGAGATTGTGTTTGCAAAGGCAAGCTCAGCGCACCCTTGAGCTTTGCACCCTAGGCTCCAGCCTGGTTAGCCTGTGGGTAAATCAGACCCTGAGAATGGTGACAGAGAGCAGCCCCAAAAGTGACATTGGATATTATTATATGACGTTTGCTGCAAACTGTCTATGAACAGGTTAAGTGAAAGAAGTAAATTCTAATTTGAATGATTCTTTACAAAATAAAAATAATAATGATGTATAAAAGTTAGCAAGAAAGAGGAAAGCAAGCTGTGTCTGTGATAATAGTTAATACCAGTGTTTACTTAAACCAACAAGGTCTTGATAAGAGAATGTTATTTTCTTCTAAGTTTAAATATAAGCAATAAGTAGACCATGTGATGTCATAAAACTAAAGAAGTCGTAAGTGGTCTTTATTTTTCAAGTAATCCAGTTCAGTAAGCACAAACCTTAATAAGGCTTTTAAAGAACAAGAAGTAATCCAGATATTGTA